AGTCCTCTGTCAGAAGAGATGGAGCCAGACCAAAACAAGGCTGTATCCCTGCCCGAGGAGCCATAGCGGAGCAGTGCGGGGACGGACGCTCCCACTCTGCTTGTTACGCAACAGCGAGGTCGTCACTAAAAGCCCCCCACAGCCTACCTGTAGAGATCATGCCAGTTTAATTACCCCTCAATTACACCACGTAGGTCAGCTCAGACTCCTCCACTTTACCATGAAATTATCTCTCTCTTCAAGTTAGGCATTAAAGCATAATCAGCCTTTAGGCAAGTGATTCATTTCTGGTTACTTTGGCACCAGCCCTTAAATAAAAGGGCAGTGTACAACAATGAGGCCCTGGGTGTGTCACAGACAGACACGGCACTCAAAAGATTAAGGTCCCGATCTACCTGTCTCGTTGACATTTTGTTGCTATAGATTTCTTTGCTACAGAAAATGTATCTGGAAAAAAAAAATTATAGTACTATACCTGCAGGGATAATTCCACATGTTACTCCTACTAAGAACAAGCCTTTCTTCCCTGTACCTACTTCTTATATGAAAAAAATAAGCATATTTCTTTTCTTTCTTTCTTTTTTTTTTTTTGAGAGGTTTTCGCTATAGGGCGCGTGCACTCGCCAGACAGAAACATAGAGACAGAAAGTGAGAAGTCACCCCCCAGGGGGGATGGTCACGCCGCAATCCCTTCTCTTCCATTCTCCTCTCGGGATCTTGGGCACACACGCACACGCGCCCAGCGTGAGTTTTAAGCCACCGGGTCTGGGGACGCGAACCGCGGTCGACTACGTGGGAGTCCAGCGACATAGCCATTACGCTAACTGCTGGTTCCCAATAAGCAAATTTCTTCACAGAACCAAAAGCTAGTTGACCATTCTTTAGTTGACTGAATCTCACTGATTCTAAAAAACACAAGCATGCGTGTAGGTGGGGGGTGTGACTTTGTTACAGTGAACATTCCTGAGGGCCGACCCCAGAGTACAATGCACTGGGAGTTGGATCCCACGTGGCCGACCACAGTTTGAATCCCAGCCCAGCAGCCTGAGAAACACACAAGGTGTGTTTTGTGTGTGTGATCTGACTAAAATCCTGACAGGACGGAGCAGCGGAGGAGTAAGGAGTGTGGAGTGACCGTGCCCCACAGTGGGGGTGATGGACCTCTCACTCTCATGAGCACCTCTGGCCTCTACCAATAGGAAAAAAAAAAAAAACAGAGTCTAAAACTGGGGTGCATTTAATCACCTAGAGTACCTCAAATGTGCTGAAATACAGTATGAGGCAACATCTGGATATTTTATTAAGAAAAGCGTCAGTGGGGCTAGCAGTGGCATGCGTTGTGGCTAAGGCACTAGACTGCCCACATGGTCAACCACAGCTGAGTCCCAGATCCAGCGGCTTGAAACTCACACCAGGCACACATGGGTGGATGCCCGAAATCTCAAGGGGAGAATGGAGGAGAGGGGACTGCCGCCCAGCCTTCCCCACGGGAGGTGAGTTCTCGCTTTCTGTCGGTCTCTCTCTGGCAAGCACACAACTCTAGACCAAAAGTCTCTACATTAATAAATAAAGGTATCGCCCTGGGCCAGTGCAATGGCTCAGCGTCAACATGCCGATCAGAGTAAGCCAGGTCCCACGCGTGACCATGGTGTGAACTCCCAGCCCAGTGGGGTGGAACACCAGGCACGTGCGCGAGAGCTCACACTCTGCAAGGCTGCAGGACTCGACCAGGGATGGTAGGTGACCAGGCCCTGAGCAGGGTGCTCCTTCCCAGACTCTCTCTGTTGCTCACATGCACCAACATATGCTCTGATGGGAATAGATGAGTTTTTTCAAAAAGAGGAAAACATGAGCTAGCTTAACAAATACTGCACAATGAACTCTCTAAAATACCGTTACCATAAAGTAAAGCACAAATTTCCGCTACTATAGATCAATATCAGAAAGAGCTCCTCTAAAATTGGGAAATATTCTAAATGGCTGGAAAAGGCCATTTTGGTATTCATAAAATTAAAAAAGAATGAGCCCTATTACATGAAAAGTAAATCTTATATGAACTATCTTCTGATAAGAAATAAACCTTTAAAACAAGTATTCTTGGAGTCTCTCGACAATGATGAGAAGATTTGCTGGCATGGCATTTCAATCCTGCTGCTGTGTGTCCTAAACGGATGGCAGGACCAGCTCTACACTACTCCTGAACGCTGTCCTCTCACTGTGTGCCGCGTGTGCAAGTGTGACACACACCCGCATGGCAGGACCAGCTCTGCACTACTCCTGAGCGCTGTCCTCTCACTGCGTATGCAAGTGGGACACACACCCACACGGCAGGACCAGCTCTGCACTACTCCTGAATGCTGTCCTGCCCTCACTGTGTGTGCCGCGTGTGCAAGTGGGACACACCCACACGCCCATCTCCTTGGCTCAATCAGACATACAAATCTTAAGGTATATTTTTAAGACTATCTAAATGGCCGAGTTGTATTTTCCTTTCTTTCTTCGGAATGATGAATACCTTTCTTTTAAAAGGATGGGACAAAATTGAAAATTCAGAATCCATGGTGGGGCGGCCCTGGTACAGGCAGGAGAGCAATGCCTGGTGGTGTTGGAACCATGTGGAAGACCAGAGCTGGGAGCCCCGAACCGTGACACCGGGCTCATGATCCTGGCTGGTTGGAAAGCAGGGGGGATCGTGGTGGTAAGATCCTGTCAAGGGGGTCCCTGTTTATCTTTCTCCATCAAGAAAAAAGAGTAAACTTAAAAAAAAATTAGACTTCGGAGAACATGTGTAACAAAAAAATTAAAATAGTCAACATGTAAGGCTGGGGTAAACCTAGGGGGAAAGAAATGGTGGGAATAACCCTGAGGAAAACTTAACAAGTCACTATGACAACGTTAAAAAATTATTTGTAACTGTAGGGGTGTCTAACATTTTCATAACAATAAAATCTAACTTCATTCCTCTAAGCCGGGTTCTTCCGCTTAGCACTCCCGGCACTTTGTGTGGGTAGGCCTCTGCTAACGGGAGCTGTCCCTCTCACTGCCTCGACCTGCGAGAGGCCAGCGCCGTTCAACTCCCCACCCCTCAGCTGGAACAGCCAACGTATCCTAAGACATTTCTGCCTCAGCCAGGGAAAAAGCCAATCCCTGCTGGGAGCCAGGGCTCTAGCCTTTCGTTACCAACCGAAAAAAAAGATTATCCCAGTTTTTCTGAAGTCACCTGAAGGGCAGAAAACAACTTTTAAAATCCATTTAAAAGTAACACTGCTTCAAGTGAGATGCTCTATGACAGAAGAAAAAAACCGAGATATTTATTTCATTTTTGCCTAGGTACTTAAAATATTAGAATTTACAGACATGGATTTATAGATAAAGTATCTTCGTTTTCAACCATTATTCCCTTATGCAGTCATTAAATACCTAACTATTCAAGCAGCTAGTAGTGAACTACATTTATTATAAACTCATGTGGTGGCTAAGATCAGATATCTCCACACTCCATATTTTATATCATAGGTTGAGTATCCCTAATCTGAAAATCCAAAATCCAAAACTTTTAAGTACTGACATAATACCACCAGTGGAAAATTCTACACTTGACCTCATGTGCTGGGTCACGGTCCAAGTACTGTGACACAAAAATATTGTATAAAACTACCTTCAGGCTATGCAGATAAGGTGTATACAAAATACAAATGAATTTTACGTTTAGGTTTGGGTCCTATCCCCAAGATACCTCATTATGTATATGCAAATATTCCAAAATCCAAAACAATCCATAATCTGAAACATTCTTAGTCCCAGAATTTTGGGTAAGGGACAATCAACCTGTATTAGTTATTTACAAAGAATAATTAAACAAATGCTCAGTCCAGTGCAACCATTTTGCTAAACACTTGATGTATATGCATTAGCATACAAGAGAAGGAGGTAAATCAATTCACTGTCAGCCTCCTAGGTTATAAAATCTATGATATTCAAGGTTTGGTTGCAATAAATCAACCCAGAAAATTATCTAAGAATTTAAATACTAGTAAAACATAGTTATCATGATTTGAGCATGCTAAGCCATGTTCAAGCACAGGACTGAGACAGGTCTACCGGGGACGGGAGTCATGAGTAAGTTACCTATAGTGACTAATTAGTGGAGTTCTTGCATTACTCTTAAATGCCTAACTTATAAGCAATGAAGTTGAAAAAACAAGAATATATTCAGCAACCCAGACGTAAAGGAGAAAAAGAAGAAACATCTTATTATTTAAAGAGCAATCAAAATCACAAATGCTCACTTAGACAAGTAAGTACTGGACTTTCTCTTTATACTTCAAGATTAAAATGAGCTCATTTATTTTCTAATAGCATTTTGTAATTGATGTATGTCTGCCATCTAAAATTCACCTTTTTTTTTGAGAGAGAGATTTTTTGCTATAGGGCATGTGTGCTCACCAGAAAGACAGAGAGAGACAGAGAGACAGAAAGCGAGAAATCAACCCCCAGGGAGGATGGCCACGCCACAATCCCTTCTCCTCCATTCTCCTCTCAGGATTTTGGGCACACATGCACAACATGCCTAGTGTGAGTTTCAAGGCTCAAACTGGGACTCAAACTGCAGTCGGACATGTGGAAGTCCAGCGATGTAAATATTATGCCATCTGCTGGTTCCTAAAATTTACCATTTTCAAGTGCACACCTACTTTGCTGTGCAGTACTATCTAATTGTAGAACACTTCCATCACTCCAAAAAGAAAAGCTGCACCTATTAGTAGTTAGGCTTCCCTCCTCCCATCACCTGGCAACCACTAATCTACTTTGCCTCTATAGTGTCACCTTTCTCTGAACATTTTGTATGAACACAATCAGTAAATGACTTTTCCTGTTTGGAGTCTCTCAGTTATCATGTTTTCAAGGTTCTCCCATGGTTCAGCATGTTAACAGTACTTCATTCTTTTTTATTACTGAATAATCCCTTATTTTTTCAAGTACGGGGTTAGCAATGTCACCTGAAACATCTTCAGCCACTCCTGGAGGCCTGTGGGTGGCTGGACGGATGTAATCCGGCGTCGCTGCTGCCCTTGGCCATTGGCTGCTCTCAGGTCCCCGAAAGTTGTTGGTGTTGCTGAACATGGTACAAGTCCCGTGGTACTACAAACAATCAAAGAATGGAAGCAAATATGGATATTTATTGGAAATAATGGGCTCTGAGTAAGAAGAATGATGATCTGACCTATTTCAAACATTAATGGATTATTACTTTTATTTGCTTCTTCCCAGAGAGGAGAACGAAATGCTTACTTTGCTATTCTTAGAGTAAGTTTCCTCCCTCCTACATAACCACCTGTTATTATCCCAGCAATGTTAATTGCAACTAAATGACAGAATCTCTATGGTAAAACTGCAAATTGTTGATACATGCAAATAATGTTACAATATTCCCTCAGAAAATACAGGTCTGACCTGACCTCTGACTGGTCTTCAGTGATGCAATTAAATAAAAGTTTACATTTTGTTTATAAAAGGGAATGTGAGACATTATTATGCTTTTAAAAACTTAGGTATAGAAATTGAGTCTTTGTCTGTCCCAGATGCCTTCAAAATGGTTTATAATATTTATCCAATGCTTGCCAATAATTTATTATTATTTATAGCTTAGGAATCCAGATATTTGACAGGAATCACCCTCGATTAGAAATGTGTTTATTCAAAGCAAGTAAATATTGACAATGTATTAAACATATGTACGATTTTAAATATGAGAACATCTAAACATTTTTATCCAATGATTAAAATTTTGAGACATTTTAAAACAACAAACAGAGCCAGCAGGTGGCATGGAAGTTAAGATAATCGGGTCCCACATGGCTGACAATGGGTTCGAGTCCCAGACCTAGCAGTTTAAAAAAGATGCCTGACTCAGGTGCCTATGTGCCCAAAATCCTGAGAGAAGAGTGGAAAAGAAGGGACTGCAGCATGGCCATCCTCCCTTGGGAGTGATTTCTCACTTTCCCCCACTCTCTCTCTCTCCTTCGAGTGCACATGCCCTATAACAAAAACAAAAAACAAACAAAACCCTGAAATTAAATTCTGCCTCTAGTAAGATGAGGGATGACCTATCTCTAAAATTGTTTGACTCTACTAGACATGACTAATCAACAACAAAAAGAATACAGTTATGACTATGTTATTAACATTAAACTTTACTTTCTAATTTCTGTATCAAATTTAATTATTTAACCTCAAGGTAAATACTGAGCATCTAGAGGCAGTCAAGAAAGGAGCCGGAAGGGGCCAGTCAGTGACGTGGCAGTAACACAACTGCACCCAGATGAGAAGGTTCCAGGCTCGTGTCCTCGGGCTTCCCTGTTCATGTCAGGCGCATATGCATGCCTATGCTCCAGGGTGGATGAGGCTGGAGTAGATCCAGACGGAAGGACCCTGTTTACTAAGGATCTCTCTCTCTCCCTGAAGAAATTAACATTTTCCAAATAGGAGCGGGAAGATTTGTTTAACAAAACTGCATTTGTAAAATAATCCTCAATTCATTGAGCTTTGCTAATACAAGGGTTTTAAATCCAAAGGACACATACAAATTGTACCATAATATTTCAGTATCAAGCTCTAATAAATCACTAATGAAACAGTATTTTTTTTCTATCCAGCGTCATTATTTTGTTTAAAAATATTATCTCAATCACCAGAGTTTATGGAAAAATCATATCTACCCCTTCAAATCTTTTTATATTATATATCTAAGACAATCTTTTAACATACAATTAAATATATCTTTTTTCTTTGAAATTCAAAAAAAAGTTTTCTTCTTCTCCAAAATAAACTAGAAAATGCATGTAATTTACATTTTCTTTTTTTAAAAAACAAGATGAAAAATTCAGTTTCATCTTATTAACAAAGCTTTCAAAAATATAAAACATCAACTATATATCCTAAGTAACTGACAAGTCTACAAAAAGATATGGAAATAAATATATTGTCTGGATTCATTTTGCTTTAGAAAGACTATGCTAAAGGGCTAAAAAGAAAACTTTTGCCTTTTCAGTTGCTTTCTCAATCAAAAAAGTGAGCACATACATATAAATTCTATTAAAATGTTCTCTGTAATAAAAATTCAGCACTCATAGGCTGCCTTAAATGCAAAGGAACAATTTCCTATCTTTATCTGAATATCAGTCATATTAACAGAATACCAAAATAATATGATTGACTGGAATCTATACATTACAAAAGAAATCAACTTTCTCATCCAAGAAATACTTTACCAAGGCTAGAAGGAAAATGTAAAATGAAGTGAATAGTTTCACTGGTCTCTCTATCCCTCCACACCCTCTGGTGGAAGTGCCAAAACAGTAAAATTGTCAAAAGGCAAAGATTCAAAGTGAGGGGGATAGTTCGCATGAGAAAAATCACACAGAACAGTTCCCGAATAAAACAGATAGCTGGTGATTTTCCCTATTATGTCTCATCTCTCCCCTTTTTGTATTTAAGACTATTCTAGTTGTTATTTTTTTCTAAATTTTATAAAAGAGTATTTGAAAGAACATTTTCTGCAGCTGACTGAAGTTAGCATCCTGGAAAATGAGAGATGCAATCTGCAACAATGTTCAATCAAAATAACCGTATGTCTGAGTAATGTTCATTTTATTACATCTATAAGATAAAAGTAGCTCTAACTTAAAATATTTTGAGAGAACAAAAGAAATGTCATAATCACGAAATTCTTATTTCTGTTGCTAACTTTCGTCACTATTTGAAGTGAAAATTATATTTTAAAAAGAAGCTCTTCAATTACTTTTGTCATTTAACTTTTAAAATACTGCATTCCAAGTGATATCCAAAGCCATTTTTAATTGGCTGGGTAACAGATATTGTGCTTAAGTTAGCCTAATTACCGTGAGAGTGGGAAAAGTTGTACATTGATGCAAAATCCAAAAATGATGGACTGCAGCAGGAAACAAGACTACAATTGTGTTTAGTTGTTATGGAAACTATTCAATAGGTTTAGAAATGTATATTTTAAAAAAACATAAGACCTACTAAGCCAATGGGAGAGATTTCTAACACACTAACTTCATGCAGTAAGACTGAGTTAGTAATTACGAGGTTTATTTCACTGCTAGTAAGTGTATCTTCTATTCTGCACATATAAATTTCCACTTAGAGCAGCTGTTGTTATAGTAACAGGATGCATTTGCTCATACTTATATTTTAGGGTTTACTTTTTAGATTTCCTTTTAAAAATGTGATTTTAAGATTCTGTTTTGTAAGACGACTTCTGCTTGTGTCTCATTTCAATTTATCAGTAACAATACAAACTGTAGTGGTAGTCCTTTTCCTTATTTAAAATGATATCTTTTCCAATTTGCAGTAATCTCAAAATAGGTTAAATACTCCACAGTACTAGGACCATATTCGTCTACAAGAATAAACTGAAAGAAATGATTTCAGAGTCATCTTTTTAGAAAAACATGAGAATCATGAGAGAGTTGATTATTATATTTAATGTTACCTTGTATATTCTGAGACTTTGCATGGTTTCTTTCCCAAAGAAAAAGAGCGGACCTCAGACCCATGGTCCAACTTTCTTTTCATCTATAAGGTAAAACAAGATATGTTTTAAAACAAAATCACCTGTTTAACCATGAAGTCTTAAATTAGCATCATTAACATGAAAAACTCTTAATTAAATGTTTATATGCCTGCAATGGTAATTGGGCAGTTAACAGAGAAAAAAAAAATGTCTCAGAGTTTCATCTATTTGTTCTACGTTGTTTTACTCTTACCAAACTGGAAAGGCAAATTTTCCCCCCTAATACTTTGTCCAGAAGAGCAGGGGATAGTAATTTAAAAACCGATAGTCATCATTCACATTCTTTGAGAGTAATATACCTTCTATGTTTTCCAGTTTAATAACCAGTATGGGGGGGGGTATTACATTATCCACATAGAAGAGAGCTATATTTTATAAGCTTTCCTCATTAATATTCTTCTTTGAAAACTTATTTTAAGAAAGATAAAATACACAAAATTTCAAAGATCTCAAAACTTCGAAATCAGAATTAAGTCGGAAGTAACTAGCTTAATCTTAAATACCATCTCATTATAAGGGGTAAAGACAACATAATAAAATTATCTTAAATGGTGATAATACAACATAAAACAATAAACATGGACAAGGGTAGTTTTTAAAAAGAGGTAAATCTACATGCTAGAGAAAGCTGGAGATGCTGCCATAAAGGCTATGGGGGAAAGCCATCAATTAACAGACATCCAAACTAGCTCTGTTGGTAACATATCACTTGGGTCAAAACATTCTAACTTGAAAAGCAATAACAACAAAACGATTTCAAAAGAAATGAGTTATGCCTCTTTATAAGGTGTATTCAACATCTACATTTTAGAAGGGTTTCATTACGCCATGTTATATACGGTAACTATGTCTAGAACTGCATTTTGTCAACATCAGCATCGAAATATTTATTTTTGCATTTCACTATCCGTTCACTGAGGTTATATGACTTTACATATATTTCAAAACTAGAAAATAAGATCCGACAAAATTGAACTGTTTCCATTTCAACAACCCTTTTCAGATTTGCATCCACTAATTAGTGACTGTATTACTGTCAGTTAGTTACAGGAAGGGGAAAAAGCGAAAATGATAGATAGCTACCCTCATTTTTATAACAAGGAGAAAACTCTGGCATGGTAGCAGCTTCATTTTCCTTCCTACTGCCTCACATGGGAACATTCTAATACAGCATGGTACAATATCAAGACTAAAGCGAGCCAGGGAGACGCTACAAATCTTTTTGAACTATACTGGATGATAAAAGACTACCTTTTTATCATCATGAAGAAAGTCTTCCAGAATATGGGGTGGTCTCATGCTAGCAGGGGCCAGAGGTGAGGACAGAGCAAGCCCATCCACAGTTTGCACCACAGTTCATGAAATACCCACTGGAAACGAATGGAATGGGTTGGATTTTTTCCCTCCCGAAGTTTCTGTACTCATTACATTGTTTTAAAGTCACTACTCTCAAAACCATTATTTTCTCCACATAAGTTTATTAAACAGCAAACACACAAATATAAAAGCCGTAATATATAGGTAGCCACGTGGTTGCATGTGTATAATTATAGACACGTACACATACACGCAAGCGAATTCATCAGGAAGGTCAGTCAGTACAGACTACCTTCAAATCTAGTCTTTGGAAAACTCCCACTGCTTCTTATTTTCATAATTATTATGAGAAACTTTGATATCGGTTCTAATTAAGTTTGTAATACTGGCTTGCAGAACTTCCCAGGATAGCTTGTAAATACAGTGGTGCAAATGCCATTTGCCACTAAAAGCAAACTTTTATTTTCATCTTAGAAATCCTTCAATGAATAAAAATGCCCCAAATGTACAAGAAAACCACTGAAAAATGATTTTATTTTTAAAAATATTTTAGAAAATAGAGCACTTTCTGTACGTCTAGAGGAATCTTTCAGATACTGTACTATTTACTGAAAATACTGACTTTAGAAGCAAAAATTAATTCTGCAATTTTTTTTTCCAAAGGTATAGGAAGTAAATATTTTCTCCTTAAATAAAAACCCCAAATATCTACAATTCTACACTTTCAAAGAGTCAACTAATAACAGACAGACAATATAGCGAAGGTATGGGAATACTGAGGGCAGAGGGTTCCCTGCAAGCCAACTAGGGAGAGTATTTCCAGCTCAGCATTTCATGGAGCCACATTTCTGAAGTCGGAATACATTTTCAGTGCAAAATTCTCAGGCTGAAATATACATTTCATTCCCCGTGTGCAGCTTTTTCTCCGGCTCACGCTGTTTTTCCATTATTTGCTAACATTCATGATATAAAACCGAATCCCAGCCACCCACCCAAATTAGAGGATACTGCAGCCATCTCTGATGAGACAGATTTTCCTTCTCAGGCTCACACACACACACGCACAGCCACCCAGCACAGGAAGAAAACAGCTTACTTACTTTGTAAAAAATCATTTTTAATGTGCCGTAGAAACCCATATTTTCTGTATTTTTCCCCTTCAGTGCTTCTGTGCCCCCGTGTGTCCGGCTGCTTGGCGGTCTCTGACAATATAAACCTTTTTCAGGTAGGTATGTCACAGATTCTAATGTGGACATGCTCGGGCACGTCAGAAAGGGAAGATCAGGGAGCAGAACCGGCAGCAAAACTCCACAGCAGAAGCAAATGCAGCTCAGTATCAAACCGCTTCTCGGGACACACATACATACATGCAGCCTGACTGGGGAGAACTCGAGGGAATAATGAGAGGGAACCGAGAAGATTATTGGAGGAGACTCTGCCCTGTCAAAGCCTTGACTGAACAGATTCCTCCCTCGGCAGCAGAGGGATCAGATTACATCTTCCCTTGCACACAGAATGGTGCAGTCCAGGACTCAGCAATGCAGACTGCACATCAATTATATGGTGATCCGCTCCAGGGAACCCGCAAGCACACGACGCGCCGAGCAGAGGGGGCTGTGGGCGCTCGGGAGACCGCCCCCACACCACAGCCCCTTCTCAACCCTCGCAAACTTTCAGGGATTTTTTTTTTTTTTTTTGCATTTTACAAAACCTGCATTTTGGAGGAGTTTCAAATGACAAGCACCACTGCCGCAAAGAAGTCCTTTCAGAAACGTTTTGAAAAGGGAATATATTTTTATACAAACTCCCCCCGCAACACACACACACCCTACGGAGGCAAAGCAGGCTGTTTTCAGCAACTGCCATACTACTGTGGTCCTAGCACAAACTGGTCAGATTTTTCCAGCAGCGTGGAGGGTCCAAAATGGGCAATGCCAAAGGGAGAGATTAAACAGTCTTGGGGGTCGGGAGGAGTGGCCGAGAGCTGCCAGTAAACCAGTTTGAAGCATAAGAAGTTACATTTCAACCTGCATATTTCTTATATTAAGGTTCAATGAAAATATTCCCCATGCTTTTCCATTTCATTCTTCTGAAACACAGTTTTCAAGAAAATTACTACACAGCTCATCAATCCTTGAAAATCATGTGAAAATACCCTTTTAAGATGAACAAACTAGCCCTACCTAACATACAGTTCTATCTTCCCCAAAGAGACTCAGGGCTATGCTCAATCACTGCAGGTCTGGCCCTTATTTGTTCATTTCATCCTAAGGAAGCAGAAGGCACTGGGTGGCTGTCTCCAAAATAATTCTGACAATGTGGATTGCTTATCATTAAAAAGGTATTTTACATAATAATAAAGGTGCCAAAATTTGCCCAAAGGCAACATCTTTCTTAGAATGACTACTACACAAATCTAGATTCCATTCTGTAACTTGCTATACAACTACCTTTAGAGGTTATTGTGAGATGCTGTCTAGAAAGGCTTATTATTAAAGGTCCAGTTAATTAACTCCTACCCTTCCCATTAAAGTTCCCGATTACGAGTACACTGTATCCCTATAGTTATTTAAAGTACTTAGAAAGTTTTTACTGAGAGAAAGAAAAATACTATTTGGATTTATTAACTACATTTTAATATTCTCTGCATGGTAGCAAATGATTTTCTTTACTAAAATGATTCTAAATACTGCATAAAATAGTCTATCATTTAAAAAATAAAACTGTTTACCCTTATAAATAAGACATTAAGTCAATGCAATTTCTTTTACTTTGAAACATAAATGAAAATAAGATAATGTAAAATTTTATGAAGACGTCTTGAGGCTTCTCCTGGAAATTATATTTTACTGTCTAATATCTTTAAAAATTTTCCTACCTGGCTCTTAGATTCTAATTCTTATCCTCAGAAGCAATAATGTACGTACACCCAGCAGAAGGTTTGTATTCAAAATAATCAATTAGCTCTCTTCAAAGGGAAATTCTTTTAAAACTGAAATCTCCTATTCTTAGTCGGAAAAAATATCCAATTGTTGGAATGGATTTACAGCACTCATAATTTAAGAAAGTTTTTTTTTTTTTCTAAGAAAGGTGATTTGCCTCCCTGTTGTGGGCTATCTGAAGAAAATAATTATAAAATGAGCACCTAAAATGTCCTCTACAAGCTGTCAGTGGTAACTAGTCTGTCACAACACAAGTGGAATACTAGTGACCCAACAGTGTATTCTGCAACTGACGCCAGGTGCTACCTCTAGTCGAACTAACCTTTCCAAATGAAGTCTTCTCAGTTCAGAATAGAAACTAACTTTAACGACAGAGTTGGGGTAGTATCTTAAAACCTAGGACGTTTAAAGTAGACGTTGTCTCTTGATTTTATATATTCAAAGGGATGCTCTTATGGTTAAATGGCTCCCACTTATGGTTATGAAGTTACAGGAAAACCTATTCCATATGTAAAATAGTTACATGGTTCAAAAATCAAAATGGTATACAAAGAAGTATGCAAAGAAAGTATGGGGGGGGGTCTTCTGAAAGTTTATGGGAAATGAGTATTATGAAAAAACTATACAACGGTATCAAAATTTTTTGTACCAAAATAAACCCCTATTTTAACCCCTTTCCTACAGCTTTTGCAGCCCCCTTGTACACACTGAGAAGTCTTCTGCCATCACCCATCCTCCACCTA